ATGTATTATTTAAATAATTAATTTTTTATTTATTTGAAATTTATAATATTAAATATATCTACTCATATAATAATATAAAAAATTAATATAAAAAATTGTTTTTATATCACTATTTTTTTCGTATTTTATTTTTTTTTCTTTTTGTTTTTTTATTAGTTGGGCTCGGAATCAGAAGAGGAAAAAAAAATTGGGTTTCGGCATTTAAATTAAACTGAATAGAAATAAAGTAGGAGCAGAGCATTAGACTTTTATTGGACCGGACATGAGATATGATTTAAGGCCTACATGTAATAGGGTTAAGTTATTTACCAATGTTCTTTTTTGTGGGCCTCAAGGATATGTCCTTTCTTTACTAATTTTTTTCTGAGGCTCAGAGTAGGGCCTGCGCTCAACCCTGGGCCTTCTTTCGTCCGTCCCTCAGACATGGGAATGACAACAGCAGAAATATTCCCTCATCCACGCTTGTGAAAATTGACATTAGGCTTCAATATAAGATTTGATCGAACGACAACAAGTGAAATAATTTTTTAAATATTTAATTTATATATATTTTTATTATATTTTTTATGTAAAATATTTTTACTTAACATGTAACACAATGCAAATTTCTTGCTACAAGCATTTAAGCAACTTGAACACTGCAGTAGGACCTAGGTACCAACCTGCTCACTTTAATAAAACACACCGAAGATCTATAATTACGACTACTATTACTTACTGTTGCATGCTTTATTGCTTCATGCCTATCAACTTTGGATTCTATCTTTCCTACTTTTTCTTTTTCTTTTTCGATTTTTAGCTTGTCCTGCTTTTTTTATAAGCAACTCGCAACCGGAAAGAAAAAGATGCCCAAAACAAAACCCCTGTGCGTCAATAATTCTACGTTGACGTGCCTGCAGAAAAATATAGGTCGATTGCGAGAAAGAAGGAAGTAGTTGGAAAAATCATTCTTTTTTGTTTTACAATAAAGTAAGTGATATGTTCATATTTAGATTTTGTACATGTCACTTTATAATTTTTCAGGTAATAATTTTTTATGTCAATTTAAATAGTTATTAAATATTAAAAAATATTAAAAATAATAATATATACTTACTATGAAATAATAATCATCAAAATATAAAAATTACAAAATCAATATTAAGTTAATTAAATTATATCATAATTTGCACTTGGCCGTGTGGCCCAATGGCTAGAGCCACTGAAAAGTGCACATCCCCTTCCTTGGACGGGTTCGAAACCCGTCCCATGACAAAACTGTTCAAAAAAAAAAATTATATCATAATTTTTATTAATTAAATTAGTTTATAATAAAAATATTAAAAACTTAAAATCATAATTATGAACATATAAATATTCATTAACAAATAAAAATAATTTTTTTAAAAAATAAACTTAAGTTTAAAAACTTAAAATCTTTAATATGTTATTATTGATAAATTTCTTATTAATTACTATCTCTATCTTAATCTACAAGAATTTTCCGAAAAGGTTAACTAAAGCCTCCTAAAACTTCGCACTTATAATCTCCCATGAGTATTTGTAGGACTAGAAAAAACCCTAATTGTAAAAATTGCGGTATCCACTCTAACGAAAATAGACCTTTACCCGTACAAGAGCACAAAGCAGGCAAAGCGTCGGGCACCAAAGATTAAGGTGTCGATACTTGTAAATAATTTATGGAAGCGACTCTGTGTCGGTTTTTTGGCCTTTTAAGCAATTTTAGTTCTTCATTGGTAACGCTGTTCTGATCCCTCATCCTTCGTTGATTAACACTTTGATCCTCATAGTTTTGATTTCTTTGATTTGGTTCTAAAAATCTTAATTTCTTTCAAGTAAATCTTTTTTTGTGTAAAAAATAAAAATTATGTAAAATCCAAGTAAAATCTTATATCAATAATATCAAGGTAAAATTCTCATTTATAGATTCTCAACTTCTCAATTGATCAAGTAGATATTTTGATAAGAGTGTTTGACATAACTTGACCAAAAGTCTAGCTCATTAGACAGTTCCTCCCCCGTAACTGAAGTCAAAAAGTTACCTTGGTGATCGTAATCATCACTGGTTGTTCAATGCTTTTTAGGTCTTGATCAAACATTAAAATCCATAAGAAAGGGCTCTTGCATCAATAAGAAAATAAGCCATTTTGGTTCGAAGTAACAAAAATACTTAATGAGTTAATGTAATCACTCATGCTGTGTGGTACAATTTATTAAGTTTTAAGATTTTTTTATGTGCTAAAAATATAAACCGCTCACAGGGTTCTTTCCAAAGAAAATGTGACATTTTCTAAGGGGAATGTACCACAGTATTCTAAGAGGTTATAAAAAGATTCATGGCTTAAGCAACATATATATGCGAGTTTGTGGAGTTAAAGTGACCCAATCATATTTAATCAATTTGTAATACTATTTGTAAGAACCACTGAACAACAATAGTGCTAATGAATGGATACAAGGGCAACTTTATACTGCCTTAACTAACAAATACTCACTTAATTATATAACAGTGTAAGAAACAAAAGACTGAGCAATAGAAGTCTACCAAAAATGGATGCTTGCTCGTTGACAGTGATACCCGCACCCACATTATAATAACTCAGTAAGTACTGAATTAAAATAACTGTGATATAATCACGAATCAATCATTGAGTATTGACAAACGCGAACCATGCAGTTATATTAGGAAAGTGGCTTTGGCTTCGCACTAGACTAAATTTGCCACACCTTGATGTCTTCATCCAATGCACTGCAAAATTTTCCAAGAATAAAATGATTAAAGTTGTAGACATTGAAAATGTAATAAATCTAAGAAAAAAATTTGAAATTTAGAACCTAATTGAATATTTTGAATCTATAATTTACAAGGGACTCATTGGACATGGATAACTCTAGGAGACGAATTTGTTATGAGAACGAGATTAAATAGGATGAATACAGGTTGCATATTCTGTTTTTGGATTAAAACTTGCATTTTCATCAGAACTACAGTCATCGAAATCAAAAGAGAAAAAATGGGTTTCAGCTTAAATTAAACAGAATAGAAATAAAAGTTAGAGCAAAACATTAGGCTTTTATTGGACTTAATATAAGTAAAGAAGTACCAAATAATAAGATTAATAAGTTACACTTTCTATATTTTAACTTAAAATATTTGTAAGTATACATAATTAAATAAAAAAATTAGAGTAAAAAGATATAATGACAATTATATATGCAAATAATGACTAAAATAAAATAACATAGATAACTTTTTATATAATGGTAGCACCCTATTGCAAAGGATTTCAGATTAAATTAAACGGAATAGAAATAAAAGTAGGAGCAGAACATTAGGTTTTTATTGGGCCGGACATGGGTTACGATTTAAGGCCTACATGTAATAGGGTTAAGTTTAACAATGTCAATTACCATGTTTCTTTTTTATGGGCCTAAAGGATATATCCTTTCTTTACTAATTTTTTTCTGAGCCCTGGGCCTTTTTTCGTCCGCCCCTCGGAGATGGTAATGATGGTATCAATAGAAATATTCCCTCTTTCACGCCTAAAGAGTTTCATCATCAATAATTTTTTAATATTTAGTGTCTGACACAGTTTTTGTTTTATACAATCCGTCATTTATTGATAAAAGTTTAATTGAATTGTTTAATTTTAAAATTTTTATTTAAGATAAAAGTTAAAATTTAAAAATTTTGTGTTGTTCAATAATTATATAAAAAAAAATAGTGCGTAATTTTTAAATTTCATACACACAGCTGTCACCTTTGGATTCTTCTGTTTGTTTATAGTATGAGAAATTGTGATGCTTTTTTATCCAATCACCTACTGCATCAATAATTCTACATTGACTCGCCGACACCAAGGTCTTTCTCACCTTATTAAAACGCACCAGAGATCTATAATTACGACTACTGTTACTTACTGTTGCATGCTTTATTGCTTTATGCCTATCAACTTTGGATTCCATTCCACCTACTTTTTCTTTTTCTTTTGGTTTTTTAACTTGTCCTGCTTTTTTCTAAGCAACTTCCAGCCGGAAAGAAAAAGATGACCAAAACAAAACCCGTGTGCGTCAATAATCTACATTGACTTGCCTGCAGAAAAATATAGCTCTTCCTTCTCTATACTCCATAAGGTTTACACTTCTTAGTTTTCCTTTGCATATTCTCTCCGCAGCTTCCTCAGTTTATAGCCACAAGCTACAAGTATGTTATCTACTTCTATGTTTATATTTTCTGTTTGTTGTTGATAAAATGAAATTATAGCTGATCCACCTTTGTTAATTATTTTCTAATCTGTTATGTTTATTGTTATGTGTTTGTTCAGATTCGGTGCCAATTTTGTGCTTCTTTGCTTTGCCTTCAGCTCCACTTATTTTCAACTTCCTCACCTCATTTCGCCAATTGATCTGGAGGTATATATAAACTACATATTTTTTTACTACTGTTTGAATCTCTGCTAAACATATGGGTATACAAAAATTGTCTTTAACCATGACAAAAATGTTTGTTAGATAATATGATAAAAAATTTTGTTAATATATTGAAACCTATTCAATTTCAACTTGAAATTTCTTAAAGATTCCCTACTCTGGTGCATGATGTATGATCTTTGACGCAGAATGAATGTTATATATATAAAAGAGAGCAAAAGATAGTCAAATTATTTGGTTTAGATCATAACCCAACATGAGGCAAAATATCAACCAAGTCGGTAGATATATATAGGAGTACCAAAGTTTGTTTACTTAAGCCTTTTTCTTTAGCTGAAGCAAACAGTAACTCAAGTACCTCCCTTGGTGTGACATTTCAGCAATTTTCTTAATGGCGGACATTGCAACGCTAATTCTTGAGATCATAAAATGCATGGCAACTCCAACATGCCGTTGTGTAGATTATCATAGAAAATTCAAACAAGATGTGGAGGATCTGAAAAGCAAAGTGAGAGATCTAAATAGCAGAAAAAAGGATGTAGAAACACAACTAGACGCAGAGGTTTGCTTGCAGAAACAAGTGAAGCAACAGGTGGAGGACTGGCTTCAAGATGTGCAGAGGATCAATGTTGAAATTCAAAAGGTGGAACGAAGGGTGGACAATGCTTCATTTCTCTCACGAGCTCGTCTTGGAAAACTTGTTCGTGAAAAAATTAATGCTGTGGATACAATTCTTCAACGAGGTCGTTTTCCTGAAGGACTGGTAGTTAATAAGCCTGCAACTGCTTTGCCTTTTCGGGTAGAGAATCTAGAAGGTGAGGTTTCTGTGAAGGAAAAGATATGGGGATACTTGACAGGCAATGAGGTCCAAATGATTGGTGTTTGTGGAATCGGGGGTGTTGGGAAGACCACCATTATGAAGCATATCCATGATGAATTACTATTGGAGTCCAGATTTGATAAAGTGATCTGGGTTACTGTCTCACATCCACTCAATGTGCGTAGATTACAAGATGAAATTGCTAAGAGGATGAATGAAAGTCTCCTAGAGAATGAGGATAAACAAAGGCGAGCTTTAGAATTGAAGGAGATGATGGGAAGGGTGAAATATGCATTGATTTTAGATGATGTTTGGCAAGGATTTATGCTTGAAGATGTTGGAATCTTGAGACCAACAGTGGAAAATGGTTGCAAAATAGTTATTACTAGTAGAAAGGTGGATGTATGCAAGTCCCTTGGTTGTGAAATAGTTAAAGTGTCTCCTCTTTCAAAGGAAGAGTCTTTGAATTTGTTCTTAGATAAGGTGGGAAGGGACATTCTACAAGTTCCAGAATTGGAAGGATTTTGGAAAGCCATGGTGGAGGAGTGTGCTGGACTACCCTTGGCCGTTGTTGTAATAGCTCGGAGCATGAAAGGAGTAACTAATGTCCGTGAGTGGAGGCATGCTTTAAACGAATTATGCAGACGCATAAGAGCTACAGCCGAAGGTTCAGAAGATGAGATATTCGAGAGATTGAAATTCAGCTATGATCGTTTGCAAGATTCAAATATCCAAAATTGTTTCTTATCTTGCTCACTATATGCTGAAGACTATGAAATTAGAAGAGATGATCTGGTCGAACAATGGATTGATGAGGGACTTATTGAAGAGTCAAGTAGACAAGTAATGCTTGATAATGGACACTTCATATTAAACAAACTTGAGAACAACTGTTTGTTAGAGAACGGTCATTCCAAGGACACTATTAAAATGCATGATGTTGTGAGAGATATGGCATTGCGCATTGGTTCTCAATTTATGGTGAAAGCTTGTATGCGACTAACAGACATACCAGATGAGCATGACTGGACTGAAAATGTTGAAAAGGTTTCCTTGATGGAGAATGCAATTTCAGATATTCCTATAAATATGTGCCCAATTTGTCCCAATCTCACAACCTTGATGTTGCAGGGGAATTGGGAATTGACACAAATTCCAGGTTGCTTTTTTGCAAACATGCGAGGGCTCAAGTGTTTAAATCTTTCTGAAACTAGCATTGAAAGTCTACCTCATTCCATCTGCAATTTGGAAAGTCTTACTACATTGCTCTTGCGTGATTGTAGGCAATTAAAACATGTGCCTTGCTTAGCAAAGCTTAAGGCATTGAAAAAGTTGGATATGTTTAAAGCAGGAATTGATGTGGTCCCTGAAGGCATTGATATGCTTGTAAATCTCCAATATCTTGATTTACGGTGTCCAGAATTGGTGGAGCTATCGACACAAATACTCGGTAACCTCTCTCACCTCCAGCACTTGACAGTATATTCCAAATCGACCACTTTAAAGATAAAAGGAAAAGAAGTAAGAGGATTGAAGAAGTTGGAGACTTTTCAAGCTCAATTGTATGACTTGCAACACTTCAACAATTATGTTAAGTCTAATCATTTTAAAAGATTGAGTAATTACCGGCTTGTGGTTGGACAAGTGCAGATCGGCTTTGGTTCTATTATTAATTTCTCTAAAGAAATAAGTTTAGGAGAATGTGAGATAGGTGGAGAAGATAGTGTGCTGCTTCCAGATGACGTGGAGGATCTATGGATTTATCGGTGTAGAAAATTTAGAAGCTTAAGTGATATTTATTCTCTCCAAAAAACAACTGAGTTGAGAAACTGTTTTGTTACTGAGTGTGAAGAGATAGGGTGTGTGGTTGACATGGTTACGTCATCATCATCTTTCATTAATAACCTTGAAAGCCTATGGCTTGAGAAGTTGCCCAACTTGAGTGTTGTTGCGAACGTGGAAGGAGTAAAAGCAACATCGCCTCACATCTTTTCCAATCTTCAATACTTTGTGATGAAGGAATGTTCTAGCATGAAGAGGTTGTTTTCACTTGAGCTGCTGCAAGGCCTCCAAAACTTGGAGGGGATTAGAGTTTGTAATTGTCAACAAATGGAGGAAATAATAGGGTGGGAAGGAGAAGAGGAAAATCACACAGCTGATGCAACTACTACTACTACATTCAATCTTCCAAAATTAAGAGTGTTGTCTTTGCAGAATTTATCAGAATTTAAGAGAAACTGCCCCACAAGAGGAGTAATGGTTTGTGATTCTCTCGGATGGTTAACAATAAAGGAATGTCCAGAGTTAAGGAGGATTCCCCTGCTGCAAGGCCTCCAAAACTTGGAGGGGATTACAGTGTGGAATTGTCAACAAATGGAGGAAATAATAGGGTGGGAAGGGGAAGAGGAAAATCACACAGCTGATGCAACTACTACTACTACATTCACTCTTCCAAAATTAAGAAAGTTGAATTTGCAGAATTTACCAGAATTGAAGAGAATCTGCTCCACAAAAGGAGTAATGGTTTGTGATTCTCTCCAACACTTACAAATAGAGAAATGTCCAAAGTTAAGGAGGATTCCCCTGGTAGGGAATGTACGGCCATCTCCTCCTGCTGCTCTAAAGCAAATCCAGATAGAGCCAAAAGAATTATGGGAATCACTGGAGTGGGACGATCCCAATGCCAAAAATGTCCTTCAACCCTTCATGGGTTGTCCTTTTATTGAGGACCGCAACTCGAGAGTTTGGTTTCCAATTATTCAAATGAAAAATAGCTGAGATCCAAGACCACGGGTAAGCCTTCTTTTCTTTTCTTATTAGTGTCCAAACTTCAATATTTCACTCTAGTTTCTTTTTTCCCTTTTTTTTTTTTTATTTTGAAAAATATCCTTTAGTTTTCTTAATCATATATTCACTATCAAACATTTGAAACCAAATATTTTCGTGGTTCATATATATAGATCTATCCTGTGGCTGATGTTCTCAGCCACCATTCAATTCAACTCTCTCATAATCATTAATGTTTAATTAATCCATCTTTCATCTAGTGGGTAATGCATCAACAACTAACTAATCTTGTGTGAATTGATTTTGATCAAATTGGTTGTTGTTGTCATTTAATTGATCTATCGTGATTTGTGAGAAAGACTGTCAAGTTTATATGATTTTTGGGGGTTGGAGGACAAGTCGTCTAGGAAGATTTGAGCTTAGTTTTGGTTATGCACATCAGGTGTTTGATGAAATGCTTGTGAGGAGATATGGGTTTGTTTTCTGTAATGTGTTTTCTAGGATAGGCTACACTAGGTACAAGGGTTTAGAAAGATGGTGTAGGGTATTTTAGGGTGATATGCTACATATGTTTTTGAGTTGAGAATGTTTGTAATGTGTGAATTAGATTACTCCTTAATGCTTATACTCCTCTTTTACTGATGATGAATGGCTTTGTGGGATCATGTCGTGCAGGTTGGGTCTGCATCTTTGTTCAGCCTGTCAAAAGGATCTCATCTTGGAATGGGCAGGAAATTGAACCAAAACAATGGGTCGATTCCGCACATCTGCTTGACTTGAATGTTATTTCATAATCTTTGAAATCTCTATTTGTTTTTGAATGCTAGTATTATGTAAAACCTGGTTCATTTCTTGCTTCTTATTTTCATTAACTCGCGTGATGTTGTATAAGTTACATTATAAAGTTGTGTAATTGTTCTTTGGATATTAGTCTCAAAATCTTAAATTATTGTTGTAATTAACTTGATTATCTCTCTGAGCAAAAAAGAATCATACATTTATTATTTTAAAAAAAAAGTGTTTCTTTACACCAAAAAAAAAAAAAATGAAGGAAGAAAAAAGAAGGAAGTTTAAAAATTCAATTACTAGAATACTTATAATATGACATTTTTCTCTTCCTCCTTGAGCAAAAAGGAAGGAAATTAAATTCGGAGACATCAGTATACAAAACTGAGAACAGGAGAGACCCTTGGAGTCATGCATAGACTCGGGAACATTTTTAAGCTGTTCTCTATGCTCATATCGGCAATTCATACAAAAAGTTTCCTAGAAACAAATGAAATGGTCAAGAAATTATAGTTACAACATGCATTTGGATTATCAAAACTACTCTTCCACAATTACTGCTTGGTACAGCAGGTAGCTCAGTTAGAATACTTAGGATAACCTGACCAAGGTTCTACCCCATTGGAAGGTTCCTCCCCCTTTGCTGAAGTTGAGGAGCTAACTTGGCTATTGTTCTCTGGGCTGGTTGTTCGAGGCTTTCCAGGTTTTGATCGAATTTTAGTACCCATGGGAAACGGCTCCTGCATCAAAAAGAAAACTAGTGACTTTGATTCAAAGTGACAAGGTGCTTGATGAGTTCATGCAATCACTTATGCTGTGTAGCACAAGTTACTAAACCTTAACCCCCTGTTAGGTTTGAGAGAAATGGAAACAGAGTCCATTTCCCTCCCCTCCCCTCCCCTCTGCTCTGTTTCCTTCCATTTCCCCCCTTCCAATTTTTTTGTTATCCAAATAGGGAAACTTTAATCCCTTCCCTCAAACCAAATAAGTGATAAGACTTTATGAGCTACTTCACTAGTTTGACATGATAACCTACCTGATCACCAGCGTTCGAACAATCAGTATGAAAAAAAAATAGGACGGCATTGTTTATCTTCATTCATCAAGCTTGAGTTCTGGAAATGGGCAATAAGAGCAGCTTTTTCTTGAATCCTAGCATATGCAAGCAGTGCCGCTTTTTCACTGTTGAACTTTTCCCATTTTTTGCCATTGAATGCCTGCAAATTGGTTTAATAACACATTAACGTGAAAAAAAATATTTGTAAATATGAAAAAGCACTACAACCTCTAAATCCCATATCAAACCTTATGGAATGGAATAATCTGTTGTGGATCAATCATGTTGATGAATGCATAGCCCACGTTGCATTTATTCTATTGACAATATGCACAAGTCTCAAGTTAGAAAAAGAAATATATGCTCTTTCATAATAAGGTCACTATAAGTGTTAGAAATGAGGATTTCTTCAACCTCCAATCACCCCAGCCTAAGGCACTTCAAGGGGGAATCGAGCTCATCAAAAAATTAATTTACTTGCCTTGAAGTCAATTGGCAAATAAATGAAATCATAGCTCCCTTGACAGTGCTCATTTATTGCAGCCAGAAGCATCTTTGAGGTATACCTGCATAGAAAATGCTATCAGATTGATAACGAAGTAGATAAGGAAAAAGGGGAAACCAGAAGCACAAGTATCCATAACAGAATGGTTTTTGCCTTTTTTTTTTTTTTTTTTTTTTTTGTAGCCTCAAACAACAGGTATATTATCACATATGACGTAATTATCAATCATTCACCACCAACGCTGCATTTACTTTAACAACATTATAGACTATGGACATTAAAATGACTCACACAATACTGTAAAAAATATAAACAAAACTAAGGGAATTTCAGTTGTGATTTCAAAGTCAATTGCTATTAGTCCTAGTCACAACATCTACAGGTTCTAGATCCTTTAGGGCTTGTTTGGTTGGTGGGACTGGCTATTCCTAGGTGAACCTACCAAAACAAGCTAAAAATTAAGAAATTTCCATAGGAAGTTAGGACTGTACAACTAGACATGACCTTAGTGAAGGAAAAAATGCTCCATCATATGACGGTTTCAACATAATGAAAAATATTAAAATCAAATGACAAATGTATAACTAGAAAGATGGAAGATGAAGTAAATAAAGAATAAAATAGCTAGTGTAACAGGAAAATCATTCACATACTTGTTTGGAATGTTCTTTATCATCAGCGTTGTTCTGCTGTCTTCCCCGTCTATGATGCAGTCAATGTCAAGCTCATATTGTTTCTTATCAGCATTATTAAAATTCAATTCATTTCTATGGTGCAAGAAATTTCTCACACGTTCATTGGGAGACTCAAAAGAACCTGGCATGGATATCACAGGGTTTCTTCCAGGGAAAAGGTGACACATTTGCTGAGGAGAGTATACCACACCATTGTTTCCACCAGCATGTGAGAAAATGTTGTGAGAAGCAATTTCCACAGTGTGTGATGGAGAACTACCAGGAAATCCAACATTCCCTAGAGATCCTAAGTGAAAACTGGAGGTGTCAGGAGATTTCCCAGCATAGGCATGTCGCCTGTCGCCTGTCCGTAATGGTGAATTAACTGATGGTGCCGACCCAATGTGGTGGGGTATGGTGATGCTGCATTCAGCATAACAGGCGGTACCCTAGGAAATGCAGGCATATGCTGAACACCATTGACAAAAGAGGGCCAATTGGGCCAAATCCTGCCACTTGAAGGGTGCTGCTGATGTGAGTTGGAGTTGTTCCACGCATAATGATTTCCATGAAGCAAACAGCTTCCATTACCAGATGATCCAAAAACTAGAGCAAATGAATCAGCTAACAAGTCAACTGAACACCTTAAAAGAATACTAGCAGTTGAGTTCTCTTAAAAATTATAGTTGCTTTCTCTATCTCAGTTGTCACAAGTGACGCAATTATGTGAAAATTGTCAATGGTAAAATCTAAGCAAGATAGCATACCCCCTTCATTAGGTTCTATCAAGTGCCCATTTGTGCTCACTCCATGAATGCTCCTATTATCAAGTCCATAAGTCATTTGGGAAACAAAACTGCTAACCATGTCCGGAATGGTGCTTGAGGAGTTAGATGGAAGGCTTTTGGCTAAATTATTATGATACTCGGGAAAAGATTGGGGATGGAAACTTGTAATGCACTGGTTCTGGAACTTAATTCCATCTAGAGTGTGGTTTGGCTCCCGAAGGTTAAATTGGTTGTTAACGGATGCCACTCTTGCAGGAGAGGGCAAGTTGATCAGAACACTAGAACTTTGACTAGGTCCAATAAATGTATTCACAGGTGACCGTATAACATCCTGTAAAATCGGGCTGGATCCATTATCCATGTAGCCAGATGCACTTACCCCAGCTGTTGCAGTAAATGATAATGAAATAACAGAAAATAAGAACTAAGAAAACAACTTAAAATAAATGACCAATAATTGATGAGAATAAATAAACAATTAATAGGCAAACCATACCCACGCATCTTGCCGTCAAGTCATCAAAGAACTTTGACAGAGATTACTAGATTCATCTTTCCCTTGGTCTGAAAGTTGCATAAAACTGCAAAAAGGAAATCCTTTTCATATATCTACTACTTTTAGAGGTAAAATAAAAAAGACAAAAGGTAAAAGGAAATAGCTCAATTATACTAATTGCATATTATATGGCACCCAAAGAATTGATTGTGTGTTATTGATAGTTCAACATTAACAGCAGAATATGACGATGGAAGTAAAATCATCCACCATCATATAAGGGATAATACAAACCTTTCCACATCCAGGCCCAGAACAAGAAAACAGTGTATAGCTCTCATCTCCCTATTAAAAAGCTAGAATCCACTTCCCTAAAACAATGAAAAAGAAAGGAAAATAGTGCTGGCAAATGATAATACCATCTTACACCCCCTGGAGGACTTGGTTCAATTTCGATCTGCTTCCCAGCAATGTCACACCTATTCAATGCACAAAGAGCAGCTTAAGCAGCTCTAACATCATAAAACTCAATGAATTTGTGATTTTGCTCAGGTGAAATCTCATGGATCTGCAAAGCAGAGTTAACCACAATACTCACCACTCTATTAAAAGTGAATGTAAACCTAAGGAACCCATTGGACCACATACTTACTTTAATTTCTCCAAAAACACCAAAAATTTGTTGAAGCCCATTGGTTGAAACAGAGGCATCAAGATTGAAAACCACCAGCATTCCCTGATTGACATATTTTTCAGATGTATTACCCTGTTGTATTATCAAGCAAAGAAAAAATTCATCAGACAAAGTGTTACACCAAGATGAAAGAACCAAATAAATGAAGCTAGTAACAGCAATGACAACCTTTGGAATAGAATGATGTATATCTAGTTTCCTATGCCTCAATGGCTTATTTTGGAGAGCTCTCTTTGCATTTTGGGCTGCCCTTCTATCATAATAAGAAATCGTGGCAAAACCACGATGCTGGCAGGCTGTATAGAGAGTATGGATATCTCCATATTGCTGACAGGAAACAACCATCAATCCAATTTGCTTAAAAATGTTCCCACAGGTCATAAGAGGAGACAAAGATTCCAACAAATATTGTAAAAATGAAGGAACACAAACCTCAAAAAGAGCCTTGAGTTCAGAATCTTCAACATTACTGTTTATGTTTCTCATGAAAAGTGTTCTAGAAGGGTGTCCACCAACAATTGAACCATTAGATGCTCCTACAATATCAAAAAGTTTCCTTGACCCACACCTAAACGATCATCACCTTCCGATTCCATGCCCCCACCACTGCTAAATAGGTCAAAATCCTCTAATTCATCAGCCCTATTGGCAGGAGTATCAAGTCCCATAACTCCAGAAAAAAGATCATCTCCGTCAGGAAGGAGATTTCCAATGGCCTGCACCTCAATTTCTTCAAGGGATTCTAAAGGTTCTTCCTCATGGTCTGAACCAGCCTTAAAGCTAGGTAGAAGGGTTGGAGCATCATTCCTCAATAATTGCACTACATAAAGATAAGAAAATTAAAGCACAAATCAGACAGGAAATTAAGCAAATAGAATGATTTTTAAAACTATTTTTGATTTCTTTACACAAAATGCTTGATTTTCTGACATTAATGTTTAAGAGGAAATGCCTGGGACACAGAGAGACAAATAATAACAAATAAAAAAAATCATTTTGTACTTCTACACTTATGTTTGCCATTAATGTTTGGAGCACTACATTGGCAAATTAAAGGGGTTATCTGTAAAACCATCAAGCATTAAGTCCAATAAAGTATCTTCTTTTAGGAAATGTGAGAGAAGCAGATCAAACATGTCAAGAACATACAAGCTCAGAATGCATAAAGAGGATATCTTATGCTTTCTACTAAATATTTCTGACAATGAGCTAGAGAACAGACTGCTTTCATGCTGGATCAAATTGGTGTTGGTCCTGTTTCCATTCATGTTATTTGCTACTGTTAGCATATACAAGTCAGACCAAGATTTTGGATGGTGATCCACTGAATTCCATGAACTCTCAGACAAAACTGGAAATTAGTCCTCTAGAAATTCCCCCCATGCCTAGCTTCCCTTCTTGGTCTCTGGCCAGATTTGACAGTGGCTTCAATGGTGATAAAGCAGCTATCTTGCCTGTCAAAAAGACTAATCATTCTTAAATAGGAAATCACATGTGGAATTTCTATTGAAAATATCCAAAATTAGAATGCAACAAGATATTAAATGTAAAAGGCTCAAATCATGCATAATTAGGCACACCAACTAAAGACTGTTAGTACAGTTAACGAGAAGAAAAAATTAATAAAGCTGTTTTGAACCTATCTCTGGCTTAAAATTTCTCAGCTAGCATAAGACACAACAAGGCAACGGGAAAGAACCAACCATGTGAAATACAATGAAAGCATGCTTAGCAATGGTCAACGAGGTAGATTTTGCACAAAAATGCAAAAGAAGTGTTCCATTAAACTTCTTAAGGTTATCACACCAGTCTACAATGTCTGACTTGTTAAAATGTATTTGTGGAGATGATGCAAACAAAGGTAGAAAGGTACTATTCGAATACATATATATGCTATAATCAAGACACAAAACTTCAAGCACTTTGGATACAGACAACACAAAACAAAGTGGTTTCAAGTTGCAACCAGCCTATCCAGTTTATTGATGCATTCAGTCATTTACTCAGTCATAATGATTTAGCATGTCTTGCAAACACCAGACATGCACAGGCACCATCAATAGATTCACTACACTTTCTTTAGCGGAGATGTCAAGATTAATCCACAAATAACCAGCAAGAGTACTTATACAATAACATCCCCCAGCCAAAATCTCATCCTGAGAGTCAGTGCCTATTAAAAAGCCAGTGACATGGAGAATGAAATTGTTTAAATTTATTAGCAGACAGAACCAAATCACTTATTAATGCAACACTTCTCACCTGAGTTACCAAGCATGATATTTGGGTTCCAGGATCCAACTTGCATCTGTACAACAAAAGTTGAAAAAAAAAAAAGGGTTAATCTTACCTAATTCAATGATGACTAAAGACTTTTTATAAGAATGATTAATATATGCAGTAAATCTTAAAACAAATAAACCAACACCAGTCCCATATTGAAAGAGCAATTACAGGTTTGAAATTGAAGCAACAATAAACACGTTAGAATACCTCGGCTGGTAACCTGGCATCTTCAAAAAAAAGATGAAGATACAACCCATTGATCCATGATCCCAAATGGCATCAGGAAGCTTCTTCACCAGAAAAGATTAACAAAAAAAGAAAAAAAGAAAAAAAAAGGGGGACTCAAAATAGAAATGAAATTTCAAATGCTCCCACTTGTGGTTCTGCCCAGGACTTAATGGCTGTATCCTGAAAAGTATTCAATACGAATAAACTTCAGATATGAGAAAATGTGTTTTACTAAGGACAAACGAATCAGAGATTCAATACCAGAAAAAAAGAAATAAATAAGAACCAATCCCTTGATCTATCATATTAAGGATATAAAACAGAGATCACCTAGTTAAGATAAGACGAAAAGGCAATCGCTAATAATCAAGGTTTGTGGGAAAAATAAAAGGCAGTTCTCCTTTTTTTTTTTGTCTCACAAATTCAATTAATACTATCACAAAAATGAAAGTCACTAGCTCACCTACCAACAACAAACAAATCTCCCATTTGGTTTCCGAGAAAAGGTAAAAAACTGAAAGAAAGCAGAAGCACAAACCCTATAATAGTAACAGAGGGGGAAAAAAAGGCAATTAATTATCAATCCCTACCACTGTGCAGTGTGCATATATAATAATAAACTTTTCTTTCTCAGTTATGCAAATTTTTCATTTTCAAACAACAAATAAACACTCAACAATCAAATTTTACTTTCCCTTTATTTTCAAAAATTATCTAAGTAGTTAATCCAAATTCTTATAGAGTTTCAACCCTAAAAGAAAAACCTTAACTTACAGATCAGTATAAAGTAACTCTGCATTTCTGTAACCAAATCATTTCTACTTTAGAACACAGCTTTCAAATACCCAATTCCCATTTAGCAATCAACAAAACCAAAATACCCTTTGAGCAGATCAGTAAAGCAAAGACAAAAGAAAAGCCTCAATCACACAACTTACCATGGAAACTTGAGACTAAAAAACCCAATCACAACATAAAAACTATGAGAAGCAGCTAAGTTTGAACTAATAAAACAGAACCCATTGCACCTTTCAAAAAAAAACCCACTTGCGAAAACCTTGAATTCTGCTTTCTACCCCCAAAATTCTGCAGCTTTTATGCCTCGAATTGATGCAAAGTGTGAGAGAAAGCAACTGGTATTTACCCAAAAGGAGCAAATGAGGAAGAACGAGAGAGAGATATTCAAGGTATAAAGGGTGAAGCCAGAGCAAGGGATCTCAGCATCTTTTTCCTGGCATTGCAAGCTATTGCTCACCACACATGAGAGAATATTTCCCCCTCTTTTCTTCCTTTTGTTTTCTTCTATCTCACCATAATTACAGAATCATTCACAAAAAATAAAAAAATAAAAAAAATAAACAAAAATAAACAAAAAAAATCAAGAAGGGGAAGGAGCTACTTGATTTAGGTGTCCAAAGACCAAATAAGTGAATCCCCCATTTGGAGAGTAGGTCTATTAGAGGGAGGGCAGGGTTACCTATATGGTATCAAAATCATTGCAAAAATGGCAAGAATATAAGATACAAGATGCTTGAAACAATGTTAGAGATTTTTCCCTAACTCTTGCCCTTCTTATATCCTACTAGACTCTTAGAATATGTTAGGAAATAACACAAAGTCTGCCCTAATCTGAGGCCACCCGCTAATATACTAATATCATAGCAACCTCAAATAGCCTTCCTCCTCTTGTTTTCAAAGTTGTACCCTCACCCCTCCATCTTATGAAACCATAACCTGCAACGTTTTTCAGTTCAATAATCTGAGGTTTGTGGCTTGGGAAGCCCGTTTACCATGGTAGCAGAATCAATTGAGACACATCCAACTCCCAGATCTCAGCCTAAAAGACAAGTAGCACAGCCACTTGATAATGCTAATGGCAGGACTAAAACAAAGAGACACCCTCGACAGACCAGACTTGAGACAATTGTTCTCATACAAGGAAAAAATGCTATAGAGAGCCAGGCGCAATCTACCTCAGCTTATGGATCAGAGCAGAATGAACCAAAGTGGGATTCTGTCTCATCATATTGCAAATGGCATGGGGTTGACAGAGAACCTGTTCAGTGCAGGAAAAGATGGAGTAATATTATTTGTGACTACAACAAAATTAAAACTTGGGAGTTACAGATCAAGAAGGAAGCTGATTCATTCTGGGTGATGGGGACTGGTAGTTTGAAGAGAGAGAGAAAGCTGCCTGGTTTCTTTGACAGAAAAGTATATGATGCCTTGGACAGAAGAAAGTTTGCCATGACAGCAATTCCACTAGCACATATTACTGCCACAACAGACATGGGCAGTGATGATGAAAAGGAAGCAGCAACAGAGGAACATGAGACTCAAGATGAAGTTTTGTTTTTGAAGCAGTTTTTGATAGTGGACACCAACACCCTATAGCAGAAGATGGTCTATTCTCTAATTATGAACAGCCTGGGCAGGAATCTGAGAAGGAGACTATTGAAACAAGCATGACAATCAAGAAGACAGTTAATAATCTGTTTCCTATGTCAGGTGTGTTAAAGCTTCTGCGCTTTTCTTTCTTAGGATCATTGAAAGCATTGCTTAACCCCGATTTGCATTTTCTTAAATATCTATTGATCTACGATCTGGAGCTCAAGATTCATTTTTATATATTCTTTTATTGCTCTTCAATCTAGCATTTGGGTTTATATAAACAGCTCAAAATGTGGCATAAATGTTCTTCATTGCACTACTAAGTTAGGACTCTTTTTATTGCTATTGGTATTAGGTCAAACAACTTGGTTTATCACATGTATGAACATTCAACAGCAAGATGAAATGTATGCTAACCATTCATTTAAATAGACATAAATTCACCTCCTAGCTTTGATTTAAGATATGACTGGGCATAATACTTCATAATTAATCACTACTAATAAAGAGTATATAAATGTTCCTTCTATTCTTCTGCTTCTGTGCTGCAGATAAAGTGAAAGAAAAACATCCAACCTTGAGTGAGTGGAAAAGGTCTATGACTCAGAAAGGATTGGAGCCTAGGCGGTCAACACTAGATGGACGTGAAGATAGAAGGCTAGACCCATTGATCAAGGTACTAAAAAGGAATGGTAACCCGCTAAATGAGCAAATTCAAGCTCAAAACACAAACTGTCAACTGGATAGGGACCAAAGGAAGGAGCATTCTGAAAGCCTGGTTGCCACTATCAACAAGCTCATTGATGCTCTGGTAAGAATTGCTGGTAGGTTATAAGAAAGAAAATATATAATAACTCAGCAACTTTTAGCTTCCTGCAATATGACAAAGTATGCAAGAAATAGATTTCCAGGTGTCTTTAATTTTCTTACCACATTAGTGGTCTAGAGGACAATCCTCTTTTCTTATAGGATTTACAATTATAATAAGGAAAACAGAAGAAAAAATATAGAGTTTATTATTATTATTATTATTATTTTGATATTCTACATGTCACCCTCTGATATTCAGAGATTTTGATGTTCTCTAATGAGTGTTTCTAAGTTTAATATTGAACTAGCTTGGGGAGTTTGAACCTAGTTAGGCAGTTTTGATCAATGAATTATAATACCTATTCCCAACCTCTTGCAGTCTAGCTGACCAAAATGAAGGAAAGCTGAAGAAAAGGGTACCATTTCATTCCCTGAATTATGCACATGGCTTGAAGAGGGAAAAAAAGGTGTATTGCATGCTTCTGAGATATATGAATTAGTGAACTTTTCAATAACAACCAAAAAAATGCTAATCAAGTAGCATTTGAAGTTAGCTATACAGATGAGACATCTAAAATACAATATAGGTATCAAGGCAATTTTGGTGGAAAAATAATGGCTTTACAAAGAAACTTGAGAGATTTGCTAACATTTCTAGCAACAGAAAATGTGAAAGAAAACTAAATTAAAATCGGACGTCTTCCTCTATGCTGGAACAGCTTCAACGAGCCTAGCAAAGGAGAACTGCATGGTGATTAAGCGTCTCTTTCTTATTTTCCACCCAACCTTATTCAATGCCCTCTCTACATCTGCTTCTGCATGAAGATAAGCTCTCGTTGCCTTTGATGGTCCTGGGAACAACTCCCCTACCCTCTTAAGAAGATCATAATATAATGTCTTCAGTGCAAAGCTCAAAATTAATCTCTTTTCAGCTAATGAAGCAAGGTGTGCAATCATCCCATCAGCTTTACTCCGAGGGTAATGCATGAGAACATCTAGACAAACCACAGTGTCATACCTCCCATCTAAACTCTCTAAATCCCTCACTTCAAATTTTGGCATCACAGGCTCTGCATCACCATTTCCTACTGATAACTGCTCTTTGGCCTGCATCAAATTAACATATTACTCAGCTTCACAATCTATATATATTGCAGAGAAATTTACAATCAACACATTCTATCAAAAACTTACAAATTTGACAAAGAACCCAATAATCATTCAATTGCACAACACATTCCACTTCGTAAATCCAATTAACCAAGCACAGGAACTCTTCATTTTTCCAAAAACAGTTAAAACAGTTAAAAATCAACAACAACAATAGTAAAGAGTTAACTACCAACAATCAACTGACCTGCCACCATAGCAGCCGAAATATCGCTGGCGGACACAATTGTCCCCTCCTCATCGTCTCTCAATAAATCTTCTTCCACCTCTGAAACCCCGAGTTGTTAAAGAACACCCTTACTAGTTACTACTTCCTTGTCGCCACCGCCCACTTCTTCCGCCTGCAACCGGCGCCGCCGCTCGGGTTCGGCGAGGGAGAGGACAGCAGTGAGTGTAGCAACAGACCCACCTCCAATAACGGCAAC